AAAAAAAAAAAAAAAAAAGACTGCAGGGAGAAATGGGATGGAAAAAAGATGAACGTTGAGAGCTGGTCGCTGGGGCGCCACCAGGGACCCCTGGTTTCGGGGCAAGAGCTGGAGGTGTACGCAACTCGGGGGAGGTGTGTGTGTGTAGGGGCGGGCCGGGCCTTCTCAGGTGCGGCGGCCGAGGCGCGTGGGTCCAGGCGACGAGAAGGCTGGGCAAACTAACCCGGTGCCCAGAGGCCTCCCCGTCCGAAGGGGGTTGTGCTTGAGCTGCAGGGGGTCCTTCCCCTCCCCTTCCAACTCCTCACCCGGGCCGTAGAACTTGCTGCCTTTGGTCACGTCGAAGACTTTCCCATTGACCGCCAGCAGGATGCGCGGGTTGCGGGACCCGTCATACTGGCGCAGCTGCTCCAAGCTGAAGTCCCGCTTCTTCATGCGAGGCAGAGAGGCGGCGGGGCTCTCCTCGCCCGACCCGGCCCCGGCTCCCAGACCCCGCCGCCCCCAGCGCACCCACAGCCGGTAGGCCCCCAGCAGCACCAGCGCCACCAGCGCCACGTTCAGCAGCATCTCCCCGCCCCCCGTCAGAAGAGCCAACGCCGCCGCCGCCCAGCCGCCCCCTTCCGCTGCCGCTCCCGCGCCGCCCGGGCTCTCGCTGCTGCCGTCGCTGCTGCTCTCGCTGCCACTCCCCAGGGTGCCTAGCTTCACGTCCCCATCACCCGCCGCCATCACTGCCCGCCAGCGCCTTCCTCCTCCTCCCCGCCCCCTGCCCTCCCCAACCCCACGGCCGGCCCCGCCCATCTGGGGGGCCTCCCAGCCAATAACATGAGGAGGAGGGGCGGGGTCAGGTCGGATCCTGATTGGGTGTTGACGGGGTAACGTTGTCTTGGATCTCTCCGGTCCCCGCCTTCGGTCGCAGGCCGCGCTCGCGTGCAACGCCCCGCCTACCTCGCACCACACTTCCCTGCTCTCGCTCCAAGCCTCCCCTAGGTGAAATAGAAGAAGGGGCGGGTCTGAAGAAAAGCTGTGACGGCCGCGCGCGCACGCTCATGGGCGGGGCGAGGCCACAGCGCGTGCGCGAGCTCCTGAGCGCCACGCGCTCTCTTCTCCGTAACCCCTGCGGGAGGTACGCCCCGCCCAGTCTCCTGTGTCTGCGCGTGCGCCCGGAATCGGTTTCCTTCCCAGGCCTGATTTCGCGTGTGCAATCTCTTGCCGTCTTGCGCTGGCCCCTCCCGGGAGCTTCACGAGCGCCTTGGCGGGACGCCTGGCGAAGGGCGCGGGCGGGTGGTTTGTGGGAGGCTGGGGCACAGTTGAACTGCAAGGCGCAAACCGATGAGGGGTATCTGCTTTTCCCCAGTGCGCCGTCGCTCGTGTCGGGAAACCGGCAGCGTGGGCGGGCAGACCAGGAAACGGCGAGAAGTTTTGGCGACGAGCTGGAGTCTTCCTGGAACAGAGAGAAAGCGCGGAGCCCGCAGCGGGCTTCTCTGGCATTGGCAGTCTACGTGCTGCTCACGCTGGCTCGCTGCTCTTGTGGAATTTTAAAGGATTTAGACGAAGGGTCTCGTTATTTCTTGAATCATAATTTCTGCCGCCATAGGGAAGTGGACAGGTTGAGGTGGTCTTTCTATTTATCATTCACTCTTATTTTCAGCTTTTGTTTTATGTACTTGGGAAGGCTTTAACCTCTCACGTCTTTAAAATTCCGGTGTGAAAGTGACCCCTGAAGCCTCATGCACTCAACTCGTTTGACGTGTTCTCTCTTGCCCTTGTCTGTTGTCTTGAGTCTCATAGCATATGTTTGAAACTTTCACTGTCGGTTTTGGAGGAGCCACTGTGGATATTGACGGGGCAAGTGACAGGATCGTCAGTCTTGTAGAGAGATTATATAGGAACCAGGTGTCTGAAAGATTCGAGGCAGGGGAAAGAGTGGGAAAGCAATTCGTAGGCTAGGGTATTTGTGCGTGAGGTGACATGCAAAGCTAGTGGAGGCATTAGAGCAGGGGTTAGCAAACATTTTTTGTAAAGAGCCAGATTATATTTTAAGTCTGTCTAAACTACTCAACTCTACCTTGTAATAAGAAAGCATCCATAGACAATGAATGAGTGTGGCTGTGTTCCAATAAAACTTTATGGACGTTGAAATGTTAGTGTAATTTCAGGTATCATGAAATATTATTTTGATTTAAAAAATCATTTAAATATGTAAAAACTTTTTTTTTTTTTGGCCTTGGAGGTGTGCAAAAACAACTTGTAAGCCATATTGCTGAGCCCTGCATTAGAGGTACTTGAAGAGTGACACAATTGGTGATAAGTGACCATATATTCTATCCTTCAATATGGAACACTTTTGGAAGTAAACAGGGCATTAATAATTATAGCCAGAGAAGAGGAATTATTAAATCAATTTATATCAGGCAAACCTAAGTGAATGGTCCCTAAGGTTAAGGGTTAGGAGAAGTCAAAATTGCTTTAGGACTTGGTAACAGAAAATGGGAGGTGCCAGTGTTGGAAGTAGGAAGATAAAGAAGAAACTGGTTTTGAGGAGAAGATAGCTACAGCAGTCCCAAGAGCCATATACAATTGGGACAGCATTAATAGGAAGAAGGAAAGCACCCAGAACCAGGCCACTCCTTATATCTTATTGACCAGAACTGGGCTATTAGCTATCCCTAAAGCAGTAACAGACAAGGAGTATGGGACATCCATGATTACCTAGTGTTTATTTATCTGGCTTTTCCAGTTCTTATGCAGGACCGTGTTGGGCGTTGCTGGACATTCAGCATCTCTGGTTCCTTCCAACTAAATATCAGTAGCACACCTCAGGCAGTGTGACACCGTAAAGCAGCCCATTTCCTCTCCTCCCCCCAGAGGTGTGATGCTTGTTGAGAACCACTGGCTTAGGCTCTCAGGATTTACTTTGGGGCTGAATTATGTGTGTGTAGATTTCTTTTCCAATTGGTTTGGAGGGAAGAGAGGAATTGGACAGTATTAAAGTTATGTTGTCACGGAAGTGGGGTGGAGAATGTTAGCTAACCACCATTGGCTGCCACGGAAGTAAAAAGTTTTCCTTTATACCCTTGCTAAAATAAATCTCCCGACTTCTTCACAGTTGAAGGCTTCCCAAAACCGGAGCTTTTTTGGATTCTCATTGTAAGCCCCTTGAACTGGGCTAGTTGGGAGTTCTTATTTTCCACTCTAAGTAACAATCTCTTGTCCCAGTAGGATACTCCTGCTTTGAATACCTCAATAACTTTGCAATTGGTGACTTGTCATCAGTTTTCTCCTACTTCATTCCTATACAAAGGGACTAGACCTGTGTTCTGATTTCCCTTGCTCAGACACCAATCTCCAGGGGTGCTCTGTAATGTAAAGAGAACATTTCAGAAAGCTCAATTGGCACTCAAGGGCCTCCATAAGTCCCTGAATGGCTTCCCTGCCTTCCCCTTCTGCAGCAAACAATTCCTTGGATACTCTCTATTAAATGATACATTTCCCCTGATGATACCTAGTCCCTTGCCCCGTTTATGCTATGTGCATTTTCCACTCTAGGACTTGGCTCATGCTGTTTCCTCACTGAGAGTACCCTTCTCATTTCCAGCCACACAGTTTCCATTAACTTCCCATTCTTTCGCTTAATTCTACCTCCACCCAAGGCCTCTAACTGTATCAGCCCACATTAACCTGTCTTCTTTGAATTTCTATGTATTCCTTGCCTATGCCATCCATTTTGGCCTTTTATTTTATGTTCTTGACTTTTCTGTTACTGAAACTGTCCTTTGGATCCCAAGATTTCCCCTTATCCTCTGTGAAGGCTCTTTTTTTGGACTTCTTTCTACCCTCCTTTTTCTCTTTATATACCTACCTTGCCTAAAGGACATCTACAAGAATCCATCATCTAGATTATTTTCACCCTATTAGCGTTTTTTCCGACACTTCATCTATTTACTGATTTACCTGTAATCTCGCCTGACTTTTCTCTGGAAGATATTAGTACTAGCCACCAAATATTTTTGTTTCTTTTTCCACACACATAGTAGATTTAGATTTCCCTACTCCATTTACCTCACGAGGGCCAATAAAATGTGATTGGAAATGACTTGTGTCATTTCCAAACAAAAGCTTTAAGATCCTGTAAACATCCTGCTCTCTTTGTTTCTGCCACAGTGATTAAATATTTTAATTATCTATTGTCCCATGACAAAGCACCTTAAATCTTAATGGTTTAAAACAGTCACCAGTTTTAGGTTTTGTGGGTTGACTAGGCTCATGGGCAGTTGTCTGATCTTACTTAGGGTCTGTCTTGTGGTTCCAGCCCGGTATTGTCTGGGGCTAGCGTATTTGGAGACTCAGCTGGGTTGCTAGAATGGCTGAGCCTTTCTATTTACCAGAAAGGAGTCTCTGTTCCAAAGATTCCCTGATTCACATTGCTTCTTCAGTAGAGTAGCCTGACTTCTTGCATGGTGGCTTAGGATTCTCAAGTGCAGAAAAGCAAAAACTTCCAGGTTTTATAAGTCTTATGCCTGGAAATGACATATTGTATTGGTAAAAGTGGTCAAAGGGGCAGCTCAGTTTTAAGGGGAGAAGAAATAAACACTTTGATAGGGGCAGAGGAAGAGTGACAAAGAATCTGGCCATCTTTATTACAAAAATTTTTGTCAACCACAGAGTTCCAGGAAAATGTGGCCATCTTTATTACTCTAATGATGTTTCAAATTGTGTAGGCTTCTATCAGTCAGGGTCTCAGAGAAAGGAAAAAGTGGAAAAGAGCTCCCAGTTAACACACATAAATATATGAATAAGAAGCACATCTCTGCTATTCTAAGTCACTGAACTATTTGGAGTTGTTTGGTATCAACTTTTGCATACTAACATAAAAACTGGTACGGGAAATAGGGTGGTTTTATAACAAAAATCTAAAATATGAGTCACTGATGTATATAATAATTGTGTTAGAAATATTTGTGGTTGGTTGGTAGGCAGTGTCCAGCTCTGACTTACTTATACATTTCCCAGTGAATCTAGCTCAGAAGTTTACACCATGATATTCAATAAATAATTCTTAAATAAGAGAGATTGTTGTATTTTTTTTCTATTTCAGGGAATAGAGAATTTTTTTTTCCATATCACACATTTCTTGAAACGTAGAAGGGGTGCCATGAATCTGTTATTTGATGCTCTGTTCCAGTGCCACCAGTGAGTTTCCTGATGTGTAAGTTTGGCTCATGGGCAGCCCACCTTCTTACTTCCCCTTTCTCTCGGGAGCCATCCTGTTCATGGAAAGTGTGCTTTCTCCTCTGCTACCTCATACAAGTTTCATAGGAGTCTGCTCCTGCCAAGGGAGGCTTGGAGTAAGCTGAACAGCATCAGCTCCTTGGGGGAAGGGAAATTTCAGGTTTAGGAGCTAAGTTCACTTCCAGGGAGTGACAAAGCCTGTTGTTTGAACTTTAATTTACAGAGTAAAAGAGTTCAATGTTGGCTATTAATGATTTTGGACTTTAACATGAAGTTGATACTGATTACTTTGGGCCATAATTTAGAAGGACAGAGTGATTTAATCTCTAAACTTTTAATTTCTCTCTGGAAAATTAATATTGAGAGAGGGTCAAAATCAAATTGAGGATATCTTGTTGGTTCTTAAAGTATTTGATCATATTTTAGAAATTCTTATAACGCTGGACAAGCTGACAGGACATAGTTTGAGATGGCAGTAGAACACATTGTGACTTACAGCCTTGGGTACAGAATAGCATTGGAACTGATTTAACTGATATGTTGTTCTGACCCATTCAGGGCGTTTTGGGGGCAGAATCTACAGTTTACCAGTGGCCCCAGAATGTCCTACAAAAGAGGTGAAATCAGTATTGGAGAAGTGGTCTTATGAAGATGGGAGCAGGACTACTCCAATTGACTGCCGACTTCTCACCCAATGGAATAACCACATCCCAACCTGATCTCAGTGGATAAGCCCATAGGGTTAAGGTAATGGTTTTCATACTCTTGCTGACACACCCTGAAATAGTTTTTAAGTTGACATGTAAAATATTTTGACCTGAGTTGCAAAACATGTAATTTTTTATGTAATATAAATGTAAATATTTTAAAATAGTGTTATGCCACTTAAAATGCAATCTAAATGAGATCTAAATCCATACAAAAGGAATAATCACCATCATTTATTTTCACAGAAATTTTACATTATACCTTTTCCTATTTGAATTTATATTTTCATTCTACTTCCCTAACAGAATTTTAATATATTTTGTGCCCAAATGTATTTTATTGCTTACTCTATTATTCTTTCCACAATAAAAAGTTGTTTATAGTCTGGGTACAGCGGCTCACGCCTGTAATCCCAGCACTTTGGGAGGCCAAGGTGGGTGGATAACCTGAGGTCAGGAGTTCAAGACCAGCCTGACCAACATTGTGAAACTCCATCTCTACTAATAATACAAAAATTAGCTGGACATGGTGGTGCATGCCTGTAATCCCAGCTACTCGGGAGGCTGAGGCAGGAGTATTGCTTGAATCTGGGAAACGGTGGTTGCAGTGAGCTGAAATCATGCCATTGCACTCCAGCCTGGGTGACAAGAGTGAGACTCTGTCTCAAAAAAAAAAAAAAAGTTAATAATTAAAAAAAATTCCTTATGACTATAAGGTTCTAAGCGTCAAAAATTTCTTTTGAATTATCATTGCATTTATTGTTAGTACATAATGATCATACCTACATTATAAATTTTTACAAATAATTACTAAAGAGAACTAAAGTTTTACTGGAAGTATATCTCTTAACGAAGTGAATGGAGTGTGCTTCTCCTCAATTAGTTCATGTATTTATAGGTAAATGTAACTTTTTGCTAGGCAACAAAATGGGAAAATATGTTGGGAGATAATTAGGTGTAGGGCTTACAAAGGCGAATAAATGATTTCTGTTAAATGTGTTATTTATAATAGAAAACAATATATGTAATAAATCTAAGTCTATAACATAAATTGTAGGAATGAATAATGAGGTGAGAAATGTTTAACAAATAACACTGAGCAGACATATTTGGGTAAAAAAATGAATATAGATTTACTGTATTCAATAATCTTTTGGCAAAAAGTAATTAGAATATTTTCTCCTAAGGTCTGAATATCTGTTCAAGAAAATAAGAATCATTAACTTTTTAGTTATATATGTTCCTTTTTCATGTAACATTGATCTGTTGAAAGGAAATTTGGAATTTTTTTATATCCTTTTCCTTGAAATCATTTGGAATGTGCAACTGAGACACAGGAGAAGGAGATTTTGCATCAAGTGCTTTCATTACAGAGCAGGTGTACCTTATAGCTAATTGGTATTTCCCAGAATGATTTTCACAAATCTTGCATATCCTAATTCCCGGATGTATATGTGGAGCATGTAACCTGGCTCTGAGTTTGTTATCTGGATGAAATAGGGTACAACCTCCTTTAGTATTTTTCTTTGCTCTCTCAGCCACATTCTTTGACATCATCAGGAAATGGAAGAGGAAATGTCATTAGACAAAAATTAGCACAACCCCTGCCTTTGCCCCAGTGTGTCTACACTCAGAACACGTCAACACAGACCAAAATACCCAATTTCTAGCACCATGCTTTTCTCTTAACAGAAATATAGATAAGGAAAGTCAGGGAATCCTCATGTAGGTTTATTATACCCTTATTCAATCAAATATTGATTTCAAGACAGTATTTCGAAGTGTTCCTTTGTATAATGCTTTAGAATTTTTTTTGTACGTCAGAGCAATTTGGTATAGAAGGATCTGGGATGGGTAAGAAGATGCCTGTCTTTTATAAGTGTGAAAAAATGATTTTTTAAAATTTGTCACTGACTTGAAGCTTAAAAAATGATTTTTAAAGGGAGTTGTAAAAATAGAATTGATGTGACGTCTCAACCTCAGTTATGTTTCAGGCAGCTCAATTTTGGGAAAGAATAGGGGAAAGTTCAATAAATGGAATAGATTTCCTCAAAATTTTCTATGCTTGTATTCTCCTCAGAAAGTACTCATGGAATCCCAGGGTAGACGTGCGCCAGTTTGAAGACTTCTAAGTTAAGAGAATAAAATTGAGTGGGGAAATGTGATACAGTTACAGGGTTTCCTGTTAACACTCCTGGCCTCTTGGGTCACTCCTTCCTCTTCTCTATGAAGTAAGATACTTGATGGTGAGAAGCTCTGTGAGAAACCTTGGCCCCTTTCGCCAGTCTTACTCTTGGGCCAGGCTTCTCTCAGGAATCATGCCTTCTGGCCTGTTTCTTCGTGCTGTAGATTTTGCAGGGATGGGCCTATGTAGTGAGGGGAGGGGAGGATTGCAGTTGCCCTGCACTGCCAGCCAGCACCTCAGTGTAAGCCTGCCTCACTCATCCCACAGTTTGATGTTGGGAGGCCCATTGTTACCACACAGTCTCCAGCATCAGCTTTATCAGTAGGTGTGGTAGTTTTTAGCTGTCTAGTCTTTTGTGTTAGATTGAATTATGTACAAGTCTATGAAACATATACAAAATATTGACTAGCTTTACTTTGTTATGATTACTGAGTGAAAGTTCTCCAGTAGAACAACTGACATTTTGCAGCATGCAGGTGCAGGAATTTCTGATAAGAAGAAGTGAAAGATCATAACTTTGATTCTTTATTTTCTCTTCTCTCCAATATCCAATCCAGTCTCTCAGCTGGCTTATACCTTGGTGGGAAAGAGGAGTGTGGTTTATTCCCAAGCCCTAAATACTGTCAGTCCTTAACAGTACTGTGCATATTAACACAATAAATACTGTGAATTTTCCTAAGTTCTTTTTGGCCGTGAGGATATGTTCAATTCTGCTTTTCCCCTCTAATAATATTTTGTATACATTTTATAGATTTGTACATAGTAATAAGTGTATTTTCAAAATGTTATTTTCTAAGAGCCTATTACTGGGCAATATATATAAAGCATGGAAAGAATTAAGTTCAGGAGATAGAAAATTGCTCTACAGCCTTAAACATTTAGTTCTTTGAGATTCACTATTGCTAGAGTTTCACAGAAGATGAATGAACACATTAAGGGTTGATTCTAAGGAAGTCACTTGCCATTCTGTTTCTTCCTGTGCTGTAAGTGACCTGGCTTGCTAAGCCTTGGTTTAACATTAATAAAACAATGATATGAAACACAGCCATCATATGAGAAAATAAGACTAAAAAGCAAAATAAACAAGTGATTACTGTGATAGAAGCTCTGCGCCTATAGATCTCTAATAGTTCACAGAAATGGTGCTTATTAAAGGGGGTACAAATCAATGTTGTTTTATAAGTGCTTGAGTCTTTTGAAAACGAGCTGCTTTTCAGATTGCAAAAAAAACAAAAAACCTCAGAAGCTAAAAGCCTTACTTTAATGCAAAATAAACTGCTTTTGAATCCTCTATAATAAATTGGCACACATAATTCGAGTATTGTGATGCAGAAGCAGAAATTTTGACTAGCTTTACATTGTTGTGGTTACTGAATGAAAGATCTCCAGTAGAACAACTGACTTTTAGCAGCTTGCAGGTATAGAAATTTCTGATGAAACCAAGAGATCAAAACTTTGATTCTTCTTTTTCTCTTCTTTTCAATATCTAATCTATCAAGTTCCATTGGCACTCCAAGATATTATCCCAAATCTGACTGACCACCTACCATGTCTACAGCTACTATCCTTCGTGCAAGCCATCAGCAGCTCTCATCTGAACCATGACAACAGCTTCTTGATTGGCGTCTTGGTTTCCACTCTTGCCTTCTCAGAATTCATTCTCTGTTATTAGCCATTTAACAATATAAATCAGACTCTATCACTTCCCTTCCTGTATTTCACTGATATCTTTGGCTTGCAATTAGAATAAAATCCAAACTCCTTATCATGGCCTATATGATTTATTCTATACCTTCCCTTTGATTGCTCTCAAATCACCTTCCTTACTCATTATGATCCAGTCATACTGATTTTCTATCTTTGCTTGAATACTCCACCCTCATTCCTACCTTAGAGATTTTGCATTTGCTCTTCCTTCTAGGTCTGGAATTCTCTACCCCATTTATCATGGCTGACTTGTTCTCTTCACTCAAGTCTCAGCTCAAATATCCTCTCCTTTGAGAAGTCTTATCCTGACCACCTGTTTAAAGGGCTCTCATCTTCTCTCCTCCAACTTTAATTCTTCTCTATCCTGCTTAATTTTCTTCATACCATTTAGCACTACCTGAAATTATCTTATTTTTTACATGTTTATTGTCTGTCAGCCCCTAGTAGAGTGTGATTTCATGGTGGTAGAGCTTGTCTGTCTTGTTTACTGCTCTATCCTCAAAGCTTAGAACAAATGTTGGCATTTGGTGGGGATTACTAAATATTTGCTGAATAAATCAAGGTCCTGATGTACCCAGAAAAGGCCTTTCAAGGGGTTTTTATTATACAAATTTTTCATTGCTTAGAGTTGTGACCCTTTGTTTTGAATGCTAAGAAATCTGCTTTTGCCAGCACGTGGAAATTTTTTTTCTCCAGGAAAGAACTTTTGTGAACTGAGTTATAAGATTGACATGTAAAATCCCTATGCCAATTTATTAGTTTCTAGTGAGCAATATAACTGTCACATGGACTCAGGCTTGCACTGACATGATGTGTTGAAAAATTTCTGCCTATGGGCTGACATATATAGGACAGTGAATTAAATCAGAAAGTTTTTTGAAAAACATTGAATTCTAGAAAGGGAAATTAGCTCATATATTTAAAAGCATTCATTTATTTCACAAATATTTCAAGATGTCTGTCTTCTATGTTCTGTGCTAGGTATTGAGGAGTCAACAGGGAATCATATCAAGTACTGGTCCTTAAAGATTTGGAGTCTAGTTGGTGAGGCCGGCTGACAATTATAATTCAATTTATAAAACAATTTTTTAAGGGTAATTTTAGGGTGATATGGGAGAATCTAGATGGGGAACTGAGCCTTGGGGGAC